TTCTCAACCAGCCCAGTTTCTGCTCCTGAATGTTGAAAGTCAACCCAACTGGAGGAGGGCCAGCTTGGCCAAAGTCTCTTGACCTTTTAAAACCTGGTGCTGAGGTTAATATTGGGCATTGGCAGTGGGGGGTCCATGGCACGTTCATTTATTTTATTATTTATTAAACTAGGTTATACAGCCACCCAACTCACACGTAAAGCCTCATCTCACATCTCAGATGGACCCAAATTTATTTCTCTCTCTCTTTCTGCCCTTAATTTGGAGTGCTTTTTTCATTTTAGAACTGCACAAAGTCCATTGCGATCTATCCCTTTTTGGCTAGCACACGCATCTGAGCTCACAGTTCACACTCGTCTGTGCCATCTTTCCAGATAACATGTTGCACGCCCGCACCGAAAGAAACGAATGGTACATTTTCTTGTACATTCTCGATCTCTCCCAAGATTGTCACAAGCCTACGCACAGGTCCCCTTGTCTTAAAGACTGGACCTGGCTCAACGCCTCCACATTCTGTGCCAAAGCAATAGCAATAGCAGTTAGACTTATATACCGCTTCATAGGGCTTTCAGCCCTCTCTAAGCGGTTTACAGAGTCAGCATATTGCCCCCAACAACAATCCGGGTCCTCATTTTACCCACCTCGGAAGGATGGAAGGCTGAGTCAACCCTGAGCCGGTGAGATTTGAACAGCCGAACTGCAGAACTGCAGTCAGCTGAAGTAGCCTGCAGTGCTGCGTTTAACCACTGCGCCACCTCGGCTCTTCAAAGCCATTCTCGGGAACTCGGAGGGGTTGGGAGGAGAACTCCTATCCTCTTGGCCAGGGCTCTCCAAATTTGGCAACTTTTTAAGACTTTGTGGACTTCAATTCCCAGAATCCCTCAGCCAGCATGGGGCCTCCTGGGGCTGGGGAAGCCTTAGTGGAGACTGGAGAGGGTCAAGTGAACCAGACCCACAAAATTTGGATTTAAGGGCGGAGCAGCATGGATAGAGCCCGACAGATCTATCCAGCGGCACGTTCTGGTTTAACTCTGGGACGGACGAATGAACGAACGCTGAGCTTTGGAACCGGCTCTTCTCTCTCGGGGCGAGAGGAAACCCTTGGGGGAACCTTTGTGGGTGACCCTGATTCTGAAGTCAAGTATTTTGTTTCCCATATGGAATCTTCTTCTGAGCTGCAGGTTGAAGTCACCAGTTCGCTGTATTACAAACTAATATGGCAAAAACTACGAAGCTCGGAGAACAGCAAAAGCAACTTCAGGCGTTCAGGTAAGTTTCATAGCAAAAAATCTCTTCCTCTTCAAAGCCTTAAGTAATTCTCTTTTACAAACTTTTACCTTGTATTATTACAGACCTTTTTTTTTTTTTAATATATTCAAAATAAGTTCCAAGGATTTCTTCTCGTGGACTATGTACATAAGTGCAAAAAGACATGTCTCACACATTCGTACACCAACTGAATCAGTTTAACTGCAGCATATTGGTTTCTTCAACACTGTCACAGAGTTATTCCACAGTACTTTTTTTGGGGCGTGCGTGCGTGCGTGTGTCTCATACAATATTCTAACTCTTCCTCCTTCTGCTTATAAATAAAAATATAGATTTGTCTTTCTTTCCTGGTCCTGATTTGAACACCATTTTCTTAAGACAGATGATTTTTACAAACATCAAGGAGACGGTTACACAATTCCGTGCAGATTTTGCGGTCATTATATCAAGTCCAACCGAAAGCAAAAGTCTCAATTTTTTGCAGAATGCAAAAACTTTTCTGGGAATCCGCGGGCCGAATTCTGTTATTTCGTTTCCCAAAATATCTACTACAGGGCGGGGCATAACCTTTTCCTAGGGGGTCACAGCAAGATCGACAGCAGTTTACAACTTCCGCGACACCTCATTTTAAAGCCCATAAAAAACTGAATTGAATGAGCTATTAAATGTTAAATTTGTTTCGGTTGAAACTTTGAGAATGAATTTGGAAACTGTGTTGAAAAATCTGGAAAATCGAACGGAACTGTTTGAAGATTTGTTGTGTTCTTATCCACCTCGTTTGAATGCTGTTCGAAGGGCTAATGGTGGTCATACTGACTATTAAATCGTGTCAATAAACTCAGTTTTTGATGGGCTTTCGAATGGTGTATGAATTATTTGTGTTGTTATTACAAGTGTTGCTGTGACCCCCTAGGAAAAGGTTATGCCCCGCCCTGTATTTGGAAATGGAACTAAACGCTTTGAATGCTACCCCCATGGCAACCCTTTTCTCTCTAATTTCCATCGCCGAGAAAAAATATTGTGGAATAACCCAACCCACGCAACAATTTCTACAAGCTATAAAACCTGACTCTAAATCCATGTGTTGTAAACTTTTGACTGAAAAAGTGACATAGAAGACACAAATCCAGCGTTCACATGGGACTTTGGGATTTTAAAAAATATTCAGTCATATATTTCTCCGACAGTCTTGAATTGTACCTTAAACAAACCCATACTGTTACACATTACTTTTTTTTTTAAAATTTACATGTGAAAATTTCACAAATAATGTATACAAAGGTAGCCATGTTGTAGTTTTGTTGCCATAGCAACAACAAACTTAATTATAATTAGTTAACAATGAATCTATCATTGTAAGGAGTTACATACAAAGTTAATTCTTCCGTTTGTTCTTAAACTGTAAACTACAAACTAATTATGGACTGTATTTTTCTGTTTTCTATTATCTTGGCATGCGCTTCAGTCTTGTTTTGTTTTTTTAGAAGATAACTAAAAGAGTTGAATACATGTATTTAAAAATCTTAACATTCTCTAACTCTCCTTCAAAAATTAAATTCATTAGTTACTAAAGATTATATATTTATATATATATATACATGCACGTATGTGTGCATGTATATATATATATATATACATATGAAAGCAATAATAAAATCTGTTAAAACGAACAATAAAATAAATGGAAAGTAATGCAACATGAATTAACTTGTTGTAGCCTATTAACAACGCCTTTTAAGTTCTATTTACAATTATTTTTAGGCTATCAACTAATAATAGGTATCTTTTCCTTAAAAAAATTACTACAGTCTTAAACATACAATATATTCTAAGGCCTTGCTCAGGCAACGTGGTAAAAATAATTTCGGTACATCCTTTCAGGAGGAAGGGGAAATTTAAGACTTTTCCTCATATATTTCACTTTTGTTTTTTTAGTTGTCAGTGAAATGTATTACGGCTTTTTTTTTAAAAAAAAAAAAAAGAAAGGGAGGGGGAAGAAACTCCAGTTTTTAAAACTTTTTGTGCATTGACACTTCCTAGAGATCTCGCCTGCATTAAAGTAATCGGTTGAGATCAACAGGAGGCCCAACCTGCCTTCTGCCCATGGGGGAAACTTCCAATATTTAACATCTTATCACTCTCGTTTATCTATCTATCTAGTGCAACTTTTAAGACTTGTGGACTTCAACTCCCAGAATTCCCCAGCCAGCATAGCTGGGAATTCTGGGAATTGAAGCCCACAAGTCTTAAAAGCTACCAAGTTTGGAGACCCCCCCCCCTGATCTAAGGTGTAAAAAGGGTCACTTTGACAAGCCAGGATTGCATGCCTGCAGCCTTAAAACCTGGGGACCAGCGCGCACCAGGGAAAGGCTGAGATTTCTTTTGGGAAAAGATGCCTAGGATTCGCACCACAATCCCCGCCCTTCGCACAGATGTGGCTGCTTTGCAAACCCCCTTAAAAAGGAGGGAATAAACCTAATTCCTAAGGTTTGCTTTCCTCCCTAGCAATAAACTGGCTTCGTTGTACTTCCTCTCCCTGCCCAACTAATCAAATATCTTGCTCAAGACGACAGCTGTTTTTTTACTCTCTAAGTAAACGCTGTGGAAAATCAGCCTGCCGCCGTCCCGGTGCACGAAGCAGTTGTCCGCTTTGGGGGAATTTTGAAAGAAATTCCAACCGGTTGTCCCGAGTTCAGAGATTTTGGGAGGAAACCAGATTCATTTGGTTAATTTGTTTTGGGAATTTATATGGCTACATCAACTCTAGGAGGCTTACAAGCCATGATGAAGACTAGGATAAAAAAGGAGGAGGAAAATAGCAGTTAGACTTATATACCGCTTCATAGGGCTTTCAGCCCTCTCTAAGCGGTTTACAGAGTCAGCATATCGCCCCCAACAACAATCCGGGTCCTCATTTTACCCACCTCGGAAGGATGGAAGGCTGAGTCAACCCTGAGCCGGTGAGATTTGAACAGCCGAACTGCAGAACTGCAGTCAGCTGAAGTAGCCTGCAGTACTGCATTTAACCACTGCGCCACCTCGGCTCAATGCATCTTCCCCAAAGATCCTCCCTCTTGGAAAGCCATCTTACTCCAGACTGCACTTCAATCTGGTTCAGAAGATTCAGAAATGGAGTTTTTTAAGTTCTCTGACAGTATGACAGGAAGTCCTTGACTTACAACGGTCCACTTAGCGACCATTCCAAGTTACAGCGGCGCTGGGGAAAAAGGGGACTTGCGACCGTTTTTCACGCTTATGCCCCAGGGTCATGTGATCCAGGATTCAGCCGCTCGGCAACAGTCCCCTATTTATGACGGTCACAGAGTCTTTTGCGACCTTCTGACAAGCAACGGGGAAGCCACTTAACAATCGTGGGTCTAACTTAATGACTGTGGTGATCTGCTTAACGACAGTGGCAAGAGAGGTTGCCACTTAACGAATGCCTCGCTTAGCAACTGAGATCTGGGGAATCAAGTCATGGTTTTAAGTCCAGGACTTTCTGTATGAGGAAGGGAGAATGGGATGGGAAGGAATATAATCGTGGGGAGGGGAAAACATCGCTGGATGTTTTTAAGAAGAGCCTGGTATGGGTTCTCCTGCTTGAACAGGGGGCTGGACTAGAAGACCTCCAAGGTCCCTTCCAGTTCACTCATTCTCCTTCTAAGCAAAACCAAAGGAATCTTGAATCTGGGCTCACTTAACAAATCTCTTCACTGGATCATTTCCCAGGATTGACGGCAGGCTGAAAAATATAAGAGGCTGGGACAAGATTTTCCCCAAGGGCAGAAGCCGTCCTGGGGTGGGGGGGCTGGCTCTGGGCTAGGGAGAGAATTTCACACAGTATTGCAAAAATTACACCACTTTACAAATAATAATAATAATAATCCCTTTATGCTAAACAATTTTTGTAAAAATAAAAAAACAAAAACCCAAAACTAAACTGAACGGGGTTGATTATGAAAAAAATAATCTAATCCATCAGAACACTGTACTTTTTAAGATAAGAATCATCATTTTACAGATCCACCGACTTCTAAATCCCTCTCTTGTTTTTGTGCACGTTATTATGTTCAAGGTTTTAGCAACACACGTTCTTTTTTTTTTCTTTTTTTTACAATTTTCATTTTTCTTTTAATGGAATGGCTAACAAATCTCCCCCCCCCCTCAAAAACGACCAATCAGCGGTTTTTTTTTCCGTTTTCCCTCTGCAATGACCCGTTTTATTCAAGTTTCTGCATTTCTTGCATATTATTTGCATAAGGCTGAGAGAAAATGGGCACACGTCCACCAATCGATAAACCACATGCATACTTTTTGAGAGAAAGAAACTTTGGATAAATTAAAAAGGAAAAAAAAAAGAAAAGGAACAGGCTTGGATTTCACCTGCGCCTTTTTTTTTTTTTGTAAAAAAAAAAATAATACGTCGTTAAAACTCACACACAAGATTTGAACAATCTTTATAGAAAATCTCTGGAATCAAGTTCACACCTGAATCCAGGTTCGGGAGATTTTATTTTAGAGTCACCAAAATAGCTCAGCGACTTTGTAGAGAGAATGCAGCTTCCTAAGGAATTTATAGTCTGTCGACTGTGGTTATTTTTTTTTTCTTTTTTTCTTTCTTTCTTGAATAAAGAAGTCATTGCACAAACAATCTTTTTTTTTTTTTAAATAGTGCTACCCTCAACAAATGGCATTTCTATTCCCACCCTCGGGTTGAAAATTTGGTGAAGTTTTCCAAAGCTTCAAGCTTTGCTCTTATATTTTTTTTTCCTCTTTTTCTCAAAACTTTTCTTTCCCCTCCTCTCTCTTACAAACAAACACTAAATTTGCGAAAGTTGGTATTAAAAAAACAAACAAGAAGAAAAAATAATAATTCTTGTGGCACCTAGAAAATTTACCCTGACACACCTATCACTGGATCTCCACATAAAGTGTGTGTGTGTGTGTGTGTGTGTGTGTGAGACGTGTTAAGCGTGTGGTCGTATGATCAGCTTCAATGTCTGTTGCAGGAGTGCAACTTTTTCAACTGCTTACAGGAAACTTTTGATAAAGACAGCCAGGAGTCAAACTTCCCTACTCCCCCCCCTCCTTTTTGGAGGGGGGGGCTCCTACATTTTGCCCCCCCCCAAAAAAAGTGGGAGGGGAAAAAGACAACGAAATTGCACCCCTGAATTTCTGTCTTCTGAGCACTTTTAAAAAGCTGCGAAACCGAATGCTGTGGAAATGTGTTATGTTTACATTCTGTGCACACCTACGCAAGAATTCTTATTTGCTTCTCAACATCATTCAGAGAAAACCAGAGAGTTACATCAAAGTGACAAGGTTACACAAATCTCCAGCTACATGGCGCTAAAAAAACGGAGTCTCCGCCTTCCTCGCTTGAAGAGCGTAAAGCTAACACCGGCGTGTGGTCACAAAATGCGTGAGTGTGTGCGTGTGTCTAATAATTTTTCCCAACTAGAGATCAGGGATGTTCTCTGTAGAGGCACTGCCACAGGTTGTGCAAATCCCGTATCGTCATCATCATCATCGCCACCGCCACCATCTTTAAAATATACAACTATCTGCTCCCTAAGGAGTATTCAAATCCTGTTTTTCTCCATTAACTCGGTTACGAAGCCGGGAAACAGGGAAGTCTGCAACCAGGATCTGAAGGACATTCAGACGGGCCCAGGATGCCCAAATTCAAGGAGCTGGATGAATATTTTGGTCAGCCTTTGAAGTAGCTTAGTTCTCCGGGGGCTGATTTCCACCTGCCCATCAATCAGGGGTGTCCTCCAAGATGGGCTTCTCCTTGTTTTTTGAATTTTATGGGGTTTCCAACTTTGGAAAGGCATCTCAACTTAACTTTGGAAAGGCATCTCAACTCCCAGAATCCCCCAGCCTGGGAGGGTTGGGGAATTCTGGGAAACGAAGTCCATAGGTCTTAAAGTTGCCAAGGTTGGATACCTCTGATTGACATCACCACCCCGAAAGTAAAAATAGCCAAAGACACTCATGCTTCAGAACTGAACACCAGCCGGGTTTTCCGCCCAGCCATTTTGTATGGGGATGCCAAACTCTCTGAATTAAAACGAGCGAGCCCCCGAGGGCTGATGCATCCAGAATTACCTCCAGATCCTAAACCCTACATTGTAAAATCGGTGTCTTTGCGGACAGGAAAGTGTTAACCTATTTGAAGAAAAAGAACATTTCTGGGGGAAGCTGTGAAGACTTGTTTGGTTTCACTACATGATTGGAGGCAAGGAAATTCGTTCCTCTCATACACACACAAGTGATGTGAAATCACAGCTGCCGGCTCTTTAGCTGGGCTTGGCCTTCATCCCCATCCAGATGTTCCCAAGGACCTGGAGGTTATGATGTATTGGTGCAATACTCAAGCCGTTCCAGGAAGACGGCCTTTTGCAACTGAGAGATGGAAATGCTGTCCATGCGTAGGTTTTCTAAGTGCCCTTTAATTAATTAACGTCATTATTGGCAAGAGAAGCAGCAAATGGAGAACTGGGGCATCTGCTTGGCTCTACTTATCTGATCTAAGATAAGGGGTTGGACTAACCCTCTTTTTCTTTTGGTTCTGTAAATATATTACAGATTAACTTTGATTTGGAGGGTAAAAAGGCCCCCTTTTTAAATAAAAAGAATCAATCTTCTTCAACATGATTTCCTTAAAACCTGGTCACTAAAGTATTAAGAAGTTGAGGGCCACGTGCTGCAGGAAATTGTAACTGAAAATTGAAGGTTTTTTTCCCCTCCTTGAAAATTCTTCAGCATGTAGTCCCTAGTCCATTTTTACTTTCTGCTCTGTTTCTGGACAGGGGGGTGGAGGGAGGTTTGGGCATTATTTACAATGTTTAAAAATCAACCTAATCAGAAATTGATCAGAAACTACGAACAACCTGTCTGAATATCTTCAGATTTTCCGTTTCCGTTTCTTTTCTTTTTTTAAAGCAAGGCCTTCCTCTTTCCCGTCGTAACCTCTGTAGCATCTCGTTTCGAAAAGGGGGAAGGAAAAGGGAAATTGATAACAACGGTCATCTATGAACATGGTTAAGATATCATGATCGTGGAAAGAAAAAAAACATGGTGTGGAATATACTTGATAACGATGTATAACTTTTTTTCTTTTTGTGTCTCTCTCCAAATAAAGTCAATATAGACTAGGATGTAAACAAAACATTAAGATAACACTTTGAAAAAACAGACGAACATTTATCCATTGACGATAGAACAATTAACCTAGTTAAGTCCACTGTGCAAGAGCACTTTTGTCTTGATGGTAGACAGGAAAAAAAATAAAACCCCACTTTTAAAAAAGTGTGTTAAAGTAAGATGTTATAAAAGTCTATTTTATAGTTCTCTACTTCTATGTCTCATATAACAGAGCACTGTTTTCTTAATCGGTTTTTTTTATATATATATGTATATATATATATAGTGCTTTTTTAAAAAAAAATTGTTTTGACATTCCCACAGATCAGTTTTTGGTTAACATGGATGTTTGTCGTAGGCTTACTGTCGATGCCGGAGAGAAGGAAAAGGGGGCAGAAAGCATAGAGAGCCCACTTCAGCTTCCTGCCAGGAGAGGGGTAGGAAACAAGACGCACAGGGAGGGGGGGGGGGGGGGGGGGGAGTGCCACCGTTTCTGCTCCAGGATGCCAACAGGACGCTGGGGAAAAAAAAAAACGAGAGAAAAGAAGTGACAATGGAGACATTTGGCAAAGATGGGCAAGTCATGTCAATGTTGTGGCCCTCCAGACAAATTCCTCTTGTAGCACCAATTTCTTCTATTCTCAGCCTGAAGAGAAGAGAATAGAATACAATAGCAGAGTTGGAAGGGACCTTGGAGGTCTTCTAGTCCAACCCCCCGCCTAGGCA